TTCTCACCAGCACTCATTTTGATTTGCATAATCAGGACTCAGTGAGTGCACAAAAGTGCTTTCACTAGTGGTGAAGATAACTACCATTAGGCTAGTCTTAAGAATTGTTCTGACCGAAGACTTGCATCTGGAACAATTATATGTGAAGACTACGTTTCTCATGGAGATCTTCAAAAATATATTAATATGGAATAAACTAAAGAGTTCATTATTTATATGTGAAGACTATGTTTCTCATGGAGATCTTCAGAAATATATTAATATGGAATAACCTAAAGAGTTCATTATTTAGGAAAATAAAATTTAGTATGAGCTTCTAAAGAGCCTATATGTTTTGAAACAAGTACCAAGGCAATGTTACAAAAAGTTTGAAAATTTCATGTGTAAAAAGGTGTTCACTAGCTGTGAGATGAACCAATATTGCTTTTTCAAGACGTTTGACAAATCTTATATCATTTTATTATTTTTTGTTGATGATATGCCAATTGCAAGAGCAAAAGTAACAAAGATCAATAAATTGAAAAAATAGCTATCAAAAGAGTTTGGATGAAAGATTTCATAACACCAAAATAAATAATTTGTATGTGGATTACTCGGGATAGATCCAAAGGATTTTAGAGATGTTCTAAGGAACTGCATCTAGAAGGTTCTAATTCAATTTGATGCTCAAAATGCAAAGTCAAGAGAGACTCCATTGGCTGGTCCTTCTAGGCTATTTAAAGAGCAACCATGAAATTAAGTAAGATACATTACACATCTATAGTTGGCAGTTTGATTTACTCTATGGTGTGTTCTGGACCTGCATAGCTCATGTAGTGGAAGTTGTGAGTAGGTTTATGTCTAACATAGGAGAGAAACATTGGTAAGTTATGAAGTGGATATTAAGTTACTTGAAATGTACTTTAAGTACAACCTTTTGTTTCAAAAGAAATGAATTAGTCTTGCAGGACTATCCAGATGCAGATTTGTGAGGAGATTTAGATGATCACAAGAGCGCATCAGGTTATGTGTTAATGCTTGGAGGAACTACAATTAATTGTATTGTGCTAAATGTAGAAAAGTGTCCCACTATTCACCACTGAAGATGAATATATGATAGTGTCAGAAGAGGGCAAAGAGAAGATTGGCTAAAGAATTTTCAAAAGGAACTAGGAAAGCAGGCTGAAGACACTCTCTTTAGTGACAATGAAAATGTCTTCAACCCAGCGAAGAATCCAATTTTTTTTGTACAAGGACAAACACCTACATCTACATTATCATATCATTAGAGGGTTGATTGATGATGAAACTCTATGGTTAAAGAAGTTTCATAGAACAGAGAATCGTGCAAACATATGCTAACCAAGTTAGTGACCATCTCAAAACTGAGGTTATGTATAACCTCAATCGACTGTGAAAGTAGGCAAAATCTCAAATCATGTAAATGTTTTTTGTGTTAGATTTTATATTTTTCTTATCTTGTTTCCTATCTAGTAACATTAAAAAGAAGGAAATCTTCTTGCTTAGGATGCAAATATCAGAACACGTCACCTCTTATTATTTTATGATTTTTATTACATATTTCTCAATCATAGTCTGGTGGGTCCAAACATGGAATTAGCATACCACGTGCTACGAAAGTAAATTCGATACTTGCTAAAATTTAGGAAAATTTACATACATACCACTCAATCCTTATGTATTTACATGTCTCACTTAAACAGCGTCAATCTTCCCGATGTATAAAAAGTATATTTCACTTTTTAAAAGTTAAAATAGTAGTATTTTTTTAATGTGATAATAAAGAATTGGGTGATATAAACATAAAAAAAACAAAGTTCGGGCGTTAGATATGTAAAGACATTAGCATTGGGAGGGTATGTATGTAAATGACCCAAAAATTTAACTTGTTTGCTGACATTGCATTGCTATTTGTTGTTGATATTTGGTTAAATATGACAAATGTTTTTCTCAGTATTAAGGTCTTGTTGTTATATCATTATATTTTGCATATATGTCCACCATCTAACCATAGTTATAGAAACCATGGACAGCAGTATCCTTATGAAGACTTGGTTGGGCTGCACATGAGGCTTTGATGATGTGATCACATGCACCAAAGAGAACTAAAGTTGTTGATAACATTTAAAAATGATTAAAGACATTATGTGGATGATGAGGTAAGATTATGGCACGGCAAGTTGTTACAGAGGCTCAATTAAGACCATTGCCTTTGGCATCTCTGCATAACACTTCAACGCCTATAAATTAGGCCCTAATAAAGCTATATCTAGGTTTATCATATTACATTATTGGATTCCATGGTCTATTGGGTGGAACATTGAGAAGGGGAGAGAAAGGAGATGGGAGATTAGACCATCTTTTAATATTTAATAAACATATAGATAGAAACAATAACATTCTAGTGAATAATATGACTAGTGAAAGCGCAAAAAAATGTCACTTCCTAAATTTGCGCTGAAGCAGCACCATATTGCCTCCAGGATCACGGTAATCACACGATTTTCTTTTCTTCTTCGTCATAGCCTCCTCGATCGGGCTCCTATGCATGATTGCTGCGATCCTTCTTCATTTTACGCTCACTGTCGCCTTTTCAATCTGGCTTCCGGTTAATCCCGCTCTTGGCACCGATTTATAACATCGTCTCCTTTCTCTATTTTAAGTGTGTCGTGCGCTAGGACATCCGACGACTTACAACCATCTCATATATGCAACCACTGAGTTCCCTTTGGATAACCACTAAAGTTTTCTTTCTCTATCGCCCCATTTTTTAACCCAGTTGAAGGTAGAGGGTTGAGCCTCGTCCTCCAAGAGCCCTCCTCGCTTTCTTCTCTGAGTAGTAGTTCGAGGCACCATCCTTGATCAATCAAGTGGGTTGAAAGGTCGTCACCTCCCTTTCTCCCATTAATGAAATTTTATTATTTTAGTTAGGGCCACATATGTGTGCGTGTATAAAAAATTAGAGTAAAATATTTGCGTATTTAATTAGCTATGTTATGATCAATTAGGTTAGAGATAAATTTTGATTAAGGTTTACTTCTTTTCAAAAATTTTATATATATATATATATATAAACCTTATTTTGAAGTATTATGCCATACTGAAATTTTTTTTAGCACAATTATGAAGTCTGAAAAATAACAGAGGGCTATATGATTTTGAGGTTGGATGGATCAAACTATTTTAAATTTTTTTTTTTAATTTAATTTTTTTTTCGGGCAATCAAATGAACCCATTTCAATATAAATATAAAACATGAGATATTGATTGTGTGTAATAAAAAGAGCTTTGACCGAATCCTTCATGGATCCAAGGGCTTGGAGCGCAGCACGAGTCACGAGATAAGATTTTACGAGAGTAAATAAAGGCACCTGCAGGACGATGGAACGATGACAATCGAACGAATCAGAGCCTAATCGAGTGATCAAACATAGGCCGGCCAAACCAGAGATTGAGCGGCTCGATAGCCATCCAAAGAGTGGTGGTTGATAAGAAGGTCTGCCAGGTATTCTTCTATTGAGCATCAACTAACCTAAAATTGATTGATTAAAAAGAATCGGCGGGATTGATATTAATCC